CAGAGAACCGGTTGAGTCACGGACCTCGGCTAAGCGTTGGAACCTTTCTTCTTTTTCTCTCTCTGTCCGCTAATGTTGCAAGTGATGAACCTTCAATAGCCAAAATAGTTTTCTCTGCTTGACCTTCACAAGCAGAAGAAGTCACAAGCAAAACACTGAAACATACCATAAAAAAAAAAAAAGTAAATAAATCTGCCCAAAGTGCATCTGGACTTGAAGTGTTCCACTAAGTAGAAACACAAGAAGGGAGCTGGAAAGACTTTAAAGATTAGATCACTCTTCTTCATTTCTTTATAGTGGTTTCGTCCATGCCAGCAGCTTCCACCACTCCTCCCAACTTCCCTGAATGAAGATGGAGGAAATGGGAAGAGGAGGAGGAGGAGGAGAGGGAGGGGAACCAGGGTTTGCACCCCTGAGATATAAAATGCCACGTGCGGCATTATACTGCTTCCAGATCAGCGGACACTTCGGTGTGCTTTATTTAGTGTGGAAACAAATGACCTTTGGAATTGTAAGGACTGGAGAACCTGGTGGAAATGAACTATGACACAGTGGAAATTTGCAATGTGATCATACGCATTAATATTCCAGATGTTGTAGGAAACACAAGGCTTTGTTTTTCACATCAAAAGCCAAAGCAACGTCTAGTGTGCTGCAAACAACGAGTCCGGCGAGGGTCTGCATGCTGGCGTATGAGGTTGTTACGGCAACCTTTGTTATGTGCCATTCTGCGGCTGGCAGGGTTGATGCCAAAAACTACACACAGCGAGATTTGTCTAGGATCTGTGCGACGAGATGATGCAAAACCACATGCTGCACCCAATACAAAGAAAGTGGGTGTGGAAGAAACCAGGAATGATGTGTGTTAAATCAAAGGATGCAAATTAAACCAAGATGACAAGCTGTGTTAAAAAAAAAAAAAAAAAAGTCAAAGGAACTGTAAGAGTTACTGCATTATTTAGATTTCTTTTACTGATCTTGTGAAACAACTACACTTTTGTTGGACTTGGATTTCTTTAAATGTCTGTCGCTTAATTAATTTGATGTTGGTTTTCAGTTGTTTTTTTTATTTCATGTAACATCAAAAGTCTGGTCTTCATCACTATAAACTTTTTATTTCATGTTTGCACCTTTCATCCGCCTACAATAAACAGTTCTGGTGAGAAAAAAATAAAAAAATTACAAACACTTTTTTTAAAATTGAAGATTGATAGAATCTCTGTTTTGAGTGTGTGTGTGTGTGTGTGTGTGTGTGTGTGTGTGTGTGTGTGTGTGCGATATTCTTTTATGCAGCAAAACATTAATTTGTGGGATAAAATCAAACAAAAGAAAAAAGTGCAAATAAGGTTGTTTTTTTTATCTGGATGGAAAAGATTTTCCATGTTTTTCTTAACATAATCGTTTTCAGTATATCAAAATTAAAAGTCCAGAAAAATAAGTGTTTTTTTTTTTTTTTTTTTTTTTAAAACAGCTTATATTTTTTTTCTTAAAATATTCTTGGATATCAGGGCAAACTATAATACTGCCATGTTATCTTTGAATATTTAAAAATGTATTTGATATTAATTGTTGCAGTGGGTTGAAAAGTCTTGCCTTTAGTATGAATTGTGGACGCTTTGCAGGACCACCGCTTGATTTTTTTGATTTTTTTTAAATTTCACCCCATCTGTGAGTTTGTTATGCAAAATCCTGTCAAAAGCAGTAAGATTTCACAAGATTTAAAAAAAAAAGAAAAAGAAAAAAGAAAGGGGGGAAAAAGCATGACGACTCCAAGATGAGCAGGCAGTTCACTAAATCTGACATTTATTATGAAAATGTTGCACGTCAGGCGATGTGCTCATAATATTTAGCTATCTGCCTCTAAACTTAGCGCTCTGCCAGGAAACCAATCAGGCCATTAACCATCATAGTAACCCATCTGTGAAACTCTTCCAAGCTGAAGATGATTTCTACAACCTTTCCCATCTGTGCACAGGTTGATCACTACTTTTTCCTCTTCACATCTGTGAAATCCCACTTTCCTCTGTCTGCTGAGGATTAAGCCCAAATAACTGAACTAATCAGTGCAACAACAATGTGGTTTAAAATGAGGCTCAGAGCCTCATCCACTAATCTGCTAACATATATGAATGCCTGAGCTTAAGTCTTATTCTCTCTGATCAAAAAGCCACTTAGAGGATTAGTCTGTTCAATGAGCAACCGATCCTTCAGTTTTGGCTTTCGGTTTTAGATGTCAAATTCGTTTGTCCGGTTCTTGGCAATCCAAGGACTTTTATTCTGTCAAGCCGTTTGTAACGTCTCGGTCTGTCCTCGGAGAAAGTGCTAAAACGTTTCCATTCACTAAAAACTGAAGTGAACCCCCCCCCACACACACACACACACACGCAAAAAACAGCTGCTGTCCACTTTTCAATACTGAACAACAGATGATCTGTCCACAGAAAAACATACATGGAAAATTAAATAATCACTTATGTAATATTCTCTGGATAACACTTATTTTTATGAGGTCATTTGTTAAAGACATTTTTTTTCCTTCTGGAGCTGCTGCTCTTCCGCATCAAAGGCAATCGGTTAAGATGTCCAGGATCAGGATGCCTTTTCGGGGCGCCTCTCTTTGTTGGCTCTTTGGGTATGACTTGCTGTCTTAGAATATGCTGCAGGTACTACACACCGAGCTGGAGAATGTTGTCGGGGACAGGGATGTCTGGCTTTTCCTCTTGGACATATTGCTGTTAAGACCCAAACTTGGTTAAAAATAGCTTTTGACTTGCAACTGCTTTTCAGAATGAGATGGCAGGGATGTAACAGAAAGGTTCACAATGTACTGTAATTTGGAAACAGTTTTTAGTGCTGGGGTGTGTAATGCAAAATGGAGCTTTGACGTTTTTACGACAAAGTGAATGTAAGTTTTGTTCTAAACAGGTTTCTCAGATATGAACTGAAGGCAATTTAATTACTTCATGCATAGTGGTCATTACAGTGGACAGCATACAGGTGAATACAACCAAAACAAATGCACAAGTCTAGAAAAATGCCTCGTAGTCTTTTACCGAAGACAACGTGCTAAATCTGACGCCACTCCAATTTTGTTCACATTTCGTGAATAAGGAAGTACTGCCTGGTGTCTCCTTCAGAGGTGTTTATGTTGTTTCCTTCAGCAGTTCTTGGTGCAGCGCCACCACTGGCGAGGAACAAACAGGTTTTTCAAAGAGTTTGACTGGTTTGACGCAGTATAGTGGGAAAGCGGATCGCACCGGCTGAAAAAGCAACAAATGTCGCAGTCTTGAATGATCGTTGCAAACATACATGAAAAACTCTCATATTCTTGGGTAAAAAACACATTTTCTTGAAAAATATGAAAGAATGCCAACCAGCATTCTTGCACATTATGCCTAATAGCTTTAAGGAATTCAAGCACCAGCTGCAAGACATCCGGTTTGCATTTGCGAGGCATTTATTCACAATGTATAAATAAACAATATTTGGAGACAAACTACAAATAAAGCTGTCCGATATCAAACATCCGAGCAAAGCTGGTGTGGTAGGAACTCTGCTAAATACTTCCTTTTTGTTTATTTTAAATGCAACCAAGTACTTAGTGCTTTAACTTTATAGTAGTAAGCCCAAAGAAAAATAGACATCTGTAACTTATTAACTGTTTATACCCAGTGAGGGAGAATCACATATCCTGTGACTTTTAAAGCTTGCTGTGAAACATAATGGAAAGTTTTATTTATCACCAAGCTACAATAAAACTGTGAAGTTAAGGTTTGTAAACTGAGTAATAAACTGAAACGTGACACGGACCATCGGGGCGTGGCAGAGTTAAACTGATTTTATTTATTTTTTTTTAATTATTATTCATTAGAGCTAAAACACAAAAAGAGAGAGAGCGAGGGAGAGAGAGAGAAGCAGGAAAACAAAGTGCAAACATGTGACCACCACTGCCCGTCTGGTGCTTCTCCAAGCTGAGCTGAAACAATTACATTTCAGTGAAGCTGTTAGAAATAATTAAAAACGTATTTCTAAAGCTGCGACAATTCCTCTGTAATTTTGCTTTCTGAAGTATTTATGACTCACACACACACACACACACACACACACTCACGAAAAGAACATATGCTTGGCTAAAAAAAAACAATAAAAACATAAAAAAACTAAACAAAATACATAACAATGAAAAAAAAACATAGATGATCCTGAGAGAAGCATGAAATGTACCAACATCCCAGCTGTCAAAGAAAAAAATAATCGTATGAAAAACAGGCAACATAACCAAAAGCCAAAACATAGCGTGAGAAAATAGGAGACCTCTGGCATGACTGACAACACTCCACTGACGTGTTTCATATCCTCACATCCACCAAAGCACATGGACACGAGTGTGCTCTCACAGTAATGATGTAATCACGCCCTTGCAAGAGTCGGTCCGGCATCAAGACACGCAGCCCGCTTCACACATCTCACCTCCAGGCTCTGAAAGCATGTCACAGAACCAGACCAGAGCTGAACACCTGGATCTGCTTCCAGCCTGTCCGTCCTCTTCTGCCGCACACACAGGACAGGTGGCCGTTTGTGCCCAGTGGGGATCAGACTGATGCAATGCCACATATGTCCTCAACCAGAGCGACCAGTGCAAGCCTTGCCAGAAATAGTGGCGGCGATGAACCGGTGACAAGGGGGCAGGGGGCGCTTGAAATGTGAGCAGTGTGTCTGAATAACTTGCGTTGTGCATGCTTGTGGATCTCCTTTGTACCGTCGGGGAGGAGGGGTGGAGGAAGCTGGCTGTTGCTTTAAACAAGAATGTGTTCATTTTAAGGGAGAAGAGGGGAGGAGGAGAGAGGGGGCAGACGGGGGGGGTGAGGGTGAGGGTGTGAGGGGGGGGATAGGGGTGGGGGGATGGCCCCATGTGAAAAAAAAAAAAAAAAAAAAAACAGCTTGAGCATTTTTCATCATTTAAGTACACCAAGGAGGGGAGGAGTGAGAGAGGTGCGGTGGAGAGAGACAGCCTCTTAGAGCCGTGAGGCAGAAGTGATGGACTCAGCCCTCGGAAAAGTGACAGTCTTCTCCCAACCGGCCACGGGCAGCACACATCCTGCCCCGGACTCTCACCGTTTGGCAGGAAAGTAAGCTCCAACATCCGTCTGAAGGTACCCATTGTCTTTTTCTCAGAGTGCACACTTTTCAAGAGGATCTCTGAACTGTTTACTCAATGTTTGCCAAAGAGGGTCTGGGAGGTTGGGCAACTGTTGAGCAAGTGACAGCCTTTTAACCACAAAGTTCTCCACTGCTTGGAATGGACTGAGGTGAGCGTTTCAGAGTAAGACTGGACGAGGAGAGAGAAGATACACGGGTGAAACTTTCTGACTTGGGATGAATTCCTACCAAGGCGATCTCCAAAGAGGTCTGGCAGAAGGGCAAAGCCACTGAGAACCTCCTCAACACTGTGCAGTTGTCTTGTAAGCATTTAGTAATCTTAATATGTTTGTGCATGCATCTTATCCTGTGGGTTTATTTTGCAAAGGGAGTTGAAAGGAAACTGACGGCGGTCGTGATCTGACAGGGAAAGTGATCGTCTCCCCCACGGCCGATGCCTTGTTAAAACCATGTGCCCTGATGATTCCCATTTTGCAAAGGAGTCACACTTTGGCTCACACAGTCGATCTGAGTCACCACAGATTCACCAGTGGTAGCGCAGCATCTGTTATCTGACTCACCGTTTGGTGCCAGTAAATACCGAGGAACATAAAGGATGCTGGTGGAAAAAAAAGAAAAGGAAACGTGACTAACTGAGAACAGGTTTGACTGACGTGTGTTGTCTGCAGAAGTGTTTTTTTGTTGTTGTTGCAAAAAAGCTTTTAAAAAAAATAACATTAAGTGCAATGGCAGTTTTGTAATGTCTAATTTTCATGGGAAACCTTGAGTGACATTTTGCTACTTATTCTAATGAGAGGCAGAAAAAGATAACGTCTTATGGCAAGCATACCGCTTCAGGATGTTCCCCTTGAGCCAAGGGGATAGAGAAACAGGCAGGCTGAATCCCCTCTTTGTTCCTGTTGCCAGAGGAGTGTTTGGATAAAGGGGCTTTGAGGTACAATGGTGGAACTTATCGAAACTGTTCCCAAAGACCCTCTGCCTCCCTCTCTGTGATTAGACCTAAAGCACAGGCGACTGCGTTGGGAGGGAAGACAGAAACCGAGGCTGAGCTGTCTGCAAGTTGAGCAGGTGGTCGAGTTTAATCAGCGCTCCCATTTCATGGCTTACATGCTTAAGGAAAGAGTGATTCCAGTCAAAGCAAGGTAATAGCGTGGATTATGAAAGGCAAATTAAGTTTGACCATGATCCAGAAAACTTTGGGTATCATGCGAGAGACCGTTCTCTGCAGAGCTGGCACTGATTCCTACACGCTGCACAGATCCCCCACTTACCCCCCCCGCCCTCCTCCCTCCCAAAAAGTACAGTGTCCTCATCCTTTCAGCTACTGACAAATGAGGTGCTGTGTGGTCGTGTTGTGATCTCCCCTCGTGGACGATGATGCGATTATGAAGCATTCACATAGAAAGTAGGACATCGGGAACGAACTGGGTCAGTGGATTTATGTTATAGGCATGACACGGATTGGGGCGGTGGTAGTTCTCCGTGCAGAGGGTCTGTCTGCCATTGCCACTAGCTCTCCATATGAGCGTGGCAGCTCACTCTAATGAGGTGATGAAGAATGTGAGGAATGCCATGTTCGGGCTGAAATGAGAGGGGCTGGGGGTGAGAGATACGAGCCAGGCTGAGCATAGCTGCCCACCTTCTAATTAATATGTGCTGAGCATGACCATTCAGAGGAGCAGTGACCCACCCCTGTGCCAGCCCCCCTCTAGAAGTCCAGCACGAGGAGTGGTGTAAACACAGACTTTTCACCTGAGGACAGTTTAACCAAAACATTTTAGTGTGAAGCAGACTTTTTCCAAGACACTGCCAATTCACGGCTCGTCGTTCCCTCGTCTCTATGCCGTGAGCAGCTCAAGCCTTATCTGACACTTTAAGGAACAGTTAATTACCGTCGTTACAGCCCGGTCAAGCACAACTTGTTTTGGCGAACCGATTCCAGGACAATAAAAAGCCGCAGGTTGTTAACAGCAAACAAGGAGGTGAAGGCTTTCTGTTGTTCTCTCTGGGAGGCTGCGGACAGGTTAATAACAGGTTGCCTCCGTCAGGACAGATGGGACTCTCTTCTTCTCCGGGAGACGGGCACCCAGCGAGTGTTGCGTTTCTTTATCTTTTTCTTTTCTTTTTTTTTTTTTTTTTTTTTTTTTTTTTTTTTTTTTTTTTTTTTTTTTTATCCCCAAAAACACGCTTGCAGTTATGCAGATGCCATACCTACAGAGACGCATTTCAACTGCAAGCTGCAAACACTTCCCTTCCTCATCATCTTTGAAGTGTGGCGAAGCCCAGAGCAGGAGATTCCACGTTAACAATGTCTAAAACGGGACTCCTCCTCAGCAGGGGAAATTACATGGCTGCACACAGAGACAGGCTCATGTTCCAGGGGAGAAACCGCAAGACCCACTGGCCAAATACACTCATCAACTCATCAACACATTACGAGGAACAAGCGCTGAGATGCTCTGTTATCCTGGTGTAGGACGATTTGTAAGCTATTATTTCCGTTTTGTTAGAAAATCCTCTATGACATGTGACTATTTCAGGGAGCGCTACAGCCATACCTGCGGCTGCCCTCGCTTTGCCAATCAGCACTTGCAGGAGTGATGTCACCGGGTGCCGGCTTTGTCTGCAGTTAAGGAATTCTGACATCTTTAATACTGTGGTGCCAAAAAGATTGCCTAATACAAAATTAGAAGAAGACGTGACCTTTTTAAAATTCCATTTCCCCTTTTTATTTCTTCATGAACGTTACATCACGTTTGGAAAGAGTCTATGAGTCTATAGACTCTTAGAGTACATGGATTCTATGACGAGCAGTAATTCGTCCCATGCTAAGATCTTCTAAAAAAGCTTAACAATGATTTGAAGAAAATAAGACGAATATTCTGCACCACAAACCCAGGAGGTTTTCATTAACCGGATTACAACATGCATTTACTTCATCATCTGTAAGGGAATTAGGAACACTGCACTTAAATGGAGTCAGCCCTGTGTCTGAAACGGTAGCTTTTCCAATTCATGTTTCCCCATCCTGTTTAGATTACATTTTCTACTGCTGGAATCAGTAATCAGAAAACGCGATATGTTCTTACATTAATTTGCTAATGTGTTACAGACACATCTCCATATGGAAGTTGGTAGTTCTGCATCATTTCAATCACTACAAACTTCCCTCGAGGCATAAAAAAACTTCAACAAAAGCAATGCAAGTCTCTGTATTTGAGAATTCAACGGATTTGGATTGGCACGGCGCTCCCACGGTCCCTCTAGTTGTTTAGCCTTTCAACAGCCACACACTTTGGTTTATTTTTTTTTAAAACAGACTTTGAACTTACTAATAAAATTTCTTTTGTTGCTAAGATGGCCTTACTGACCGCAACCAGACTGTGAGAGCATGATATCCGACTTTGTTTCATCCCACAGGGATCACTGCATTTTGGGTTGACTCACTCTGTACTTGAACTACTTACCTTATTATCAGAATCAAACAACATAATGATGAAAGACTGCTTGAACTGGCTTCTGGTATATTTTAAAATCAATTTTAAAATGAGCATTTTATGTACTGGGAACAGAGTATGTATGCAGGGTTAGGCTAAAGCCGAATTGGGCAGAGAATCTGGAATAATCCACCAACTCGAGTGAAATCTGTTTATACAAGCATTTTGCTCTGATTGAATAGTATAGAGTGTCTTTGAGTATTCTATTTTAAATTATTACGACTGGTTTCAATTACTATGTTGTTTTACTGTAGTAGATTTTTGAATGAAACAAATTAAAGGATGTTTTACACCCTTGAATAAATCAAACATGAAGCGTTGATTTCGCCAAGGGTCGTGTTCTTGAGAAGTGCTGCATTTCTCCTCTCTATGTCTCCACTCTAATGTGCTGGCTTCGTTCCCGCATATTACATAACAAGGCTAAAACATTTTTTGACTTTGTTGCCCTATTCTGTGCTCAAATCTCCGAGAAGGATAATCTGTGTAGAATCTGTGCGAGGATCCTTCTGCAGTGACTATCGGACAATTTATAAGACTTTATGACTGAACAATTAGACTCCGGAGGTGCAAGGCTCAGAAAAGCACCATATTCTGACCTGCAGCAGCTTTCGCTCAGGTTCCCCTCATAAGTTCAGTGACTCATTATGCTTATGCAGCAGTTACAGTGGTCTGTGGCCCTTTTTTAACCCCATGTCTATCAAGACTACATCATATTCAAAACCTGCAATTACTGGTTTTAATAAAAAGAATAATCACTCATTTGTTTGAGGCCAAACAGATGAGAAATTTAAAAAAAAATTTCATTCCTCTGAATGAAAGTTGTGGGTTGTTTCAAAAAGGTCTGCTAACAAGGAAAACATATCTCAGAAAAAAAAGAGTCTAAAATTAAAAGAACAATACCAAACATTGAATCAGTGATTCAGTCCAACAGGAATTATGTTATACAACAATCCTTTTACCATGATGTTACATAATTGGAATTGTCTTTCCGTGCTAGCATGTCATGAAAAGAGGCTGCAGACCTGACTGATGCAACCCAATCAGTATTTAAAATAGCCACTTGGGTTGCATCATCCCAGCAGTGCCTCAGCTTTTCCATCTCCGGGCCCCGGCAAACAAAGCAAGAGTGTTTGTGCGTAAAAGACAGACTGTGGTAGTTGCCTAAAGAGAGCCAGAACCAGAACAAAGCAAAAACACTCGCCTCGCAACAATCTATCTGATTAAAAGAGATCGGGCACATTGTTAGGTAGAATAAATATTGTCCTTGGCTTTCAGACAGCAGGTGTTGCTTTTGATTGCAGAGATCACATTCAAACATGTCAGGCTGGAAGGTAAATATTTTTTCAATGAATTACGTTTTCCTTGTGTGCCACTGAGAACAGAGCGGGCACCATGCAATTTCTGCATTGCACATCATCGGCGTCCCGCGCGGTTATTATGACGTGGGAAGTCAAAGTAGCCGCCGTTGCGCTCGGCGGCACATGTGAACAATTTCCCCTCAGATTATGTGCTCTTTTTGGTTGGACCAAGTATTTTAAGTGCCGAAACCTGCTGGTGTTTAGATGTTAATGCACAGTGCTTCTGTGTTTGGATGTTTTTCACAATTTACAAGTGAGTGTGCCCCGACAGAAGGCAAGCAACATCTGCTTTTAATGAGCAGAGCAGTGAATGCGCTCGCTCGTCTAATGTCAAACAGGTACTGGTCGTACAAGAAAAAAATACCATTGCTTCCTGACATGACAGTGTTCAAACTAAAATGTAAAACGTATGATGACATGATGTAACTAACCCTAACTCTTCTTGATGGAAAACAGAAAACCAAGAATCATTCCTTCTGCTGCTGCAAAAACATAACATATTGATTATATCCGATAGTGTTATAGATAACGATGGTTTACTTTGATTTTGATTCTGAATTGTAGTTTTTGACAAGAATATATCACCTGCTAAATTTATGGGTTAGGGTTAGTCTTAGAACAGATGAATAATTTGACCTTTTCACTCTTCATTCTGCTCTTCCCAGTGTTACAAGCCGGTTGATTAGTCAGGCTGTCTCCTCCGGTAGCCAGCCTGGGATTGGAGCTGCTCTGTTAGTTTCAAGTCTGTTTGTGTGTTTGAAGGCCTGAAAACTTTTCCAAAAGCCAAAGTTGTATTTTAAGGAGCAAAGGAAAAGACTTTTGTAAACTAGCTGAGTATCAGAAGCCTATAAGAGCGATGCCCCACGTTATGCTCAGTATAGCCACAGAAAGTTCCATACACTCTGACACCGAATCTATTATATCATTGAAAAGACTTTTAAACCACAGAAATAGTACGATGGAAAAGTGTTGTACTTTTGAAGCACGGCTTTTTAAAACCTCGATACTGACGAGCATCCAATGGCGAATGTCAAACTGATGATGTTTCAAAATCCTGACAGTTTCGCAGCATGAGCGAAAATTGTGAATGCCTTGTATGGTGGATCAACAAGGACAATTTCAAACAAATATTTGTAATCATAATTTGATTTGTGTTCTTATTAATTGTCTACAGGTTTTGGTGAATTGGACAATAACACATGGAGCCCCCTTCAATGGTCCTGCTGGGGGTCGTTCTGGTTTATGGACTAAGTTGGGGCGTCCAGCAGACACAGGCAAGTCTGTCGGACAATAGCCAAGGCAAGCATAAGACCCAGGAATTTGGGAGCAGTGAGGATGATTTGGAAGGAGAGTTTTTGTATGCTGGGAGGAGCAAACGTGCTCCAGCTGAACAGCCACAGGACAAGTGTTCCTACACTTTTATCGTGCCTCAACAAAAGGTGACTGGAGCCATCTGCGTGAACTCCAAGGAGCCCGAGGCCATGCTGGAGAATCGGGTCCACAAGCAAGAGCTGGAGCTGCTGAACGTGGAGCTCCAGAAACAGAAAAGGCAGATCGAAACCCTTCAGCAGCTGGTGGAGGTAGACGGAGGTATCGTCAACGAGGTCAAGCTTCTGCGGAAGGAAAGTAGAAATATGAACTCCAGAGTGACTCAGCTGTACATGCAGCTCCTCCATGAGATCATCAGGAAGAGAGACAATGCTCTGGAATTAGCCCAAATGGAGAACCGGATCCTGAACCAAACCTCAGAGATGCAGCAGCTCACCAGTCGATACAAAGACCTCGAGCACAAGTACCAGCACTTGGCTTCCCTAGCCACAAACCAGTCAGCCATAATTGCCATGCTGGAGGAGCAGTGCCAGAGCCGACACCCTCCCCGTTACGTTCCCGCCTCGCAGCCACGACCTCAACCTCCTCCGCCACCATCTCCACCTCTCAACAAGCCTTACCAGCCACCTTACCAGCCACCTCTCCTTCCACGCATAAACAACCCAATCAGCAATGAGATCCAGAGCGACCAAAAGTCTCTTCCGCCCCTTCCTACAATGCCCGTTGGTACACACAGCCCATCTACCACTGACAAACCGTCTGGTGAGTAACTTAAACTCCTTTTCAGATGCTCTCTTACAGTTTCTATCCTGAACACTGGATCAAAACAAGAACCTTTTGTGTCCGAGTTGCCTAATTACTATTCATGAGAGAACAGTTCTTTTGCCATTCTTCCAGAAAGAACGATTTTAAAAAGATCTCACGCATTCCCCAGCACAAAGGACTGGTTGTCAGAACAGAAAAGCTGTTGTCCGTCGTCTTTTTCAGATGTATATCTACTAATGGTCATCATTAAATCCACAAAAAACACAAAGTATACTAGCAGGGTACATGTGTGTACCAACATGAATCACTGGCCCAAGGTCAAATGGTTTTTAAAAACACATGTAAGTAGATTTTAAAACTGATGTGAAGGGTGTTTTGCATGGCCTATTACTTTCTCTTTGCGTTAGAAATCTACACTTTGTTTAAAAAAAAAAAACGGGGGAAAAATTTCACACGCGATTTCCCTAATGACTAGTGGGTGTTTTTAACCTTTGACAGTTTACTCTAATGCTTACCATGAGACTGGCAACCTTTGAATTGACTGTTTGAAGGCGGACGAGTCATTTCTTGCCCAGATCCATGTTGCTAAGACAAGAAAAACCTTTGCAAACCCTTTGCGCAAACAGACAGCTGCATACCAAGCAGGAATACACAATACAGTGCGGAAGAGACAGACGGAAAGGGGAACAAAGCGGGAAGACGAGAAAACCAGAGGGGGTGAGGTAGGTACAGAGATACAGGGAGTAGGTGATGTCATTTGTTCCACCAGGCGAGAATCAGTCATATGTTCCACCGAAGGAGCAGACTTTATCAGGCAGAACAGAGCAGGCCAGGACAGGGCAGCTCTCTGGCTTGTATCTGCTCAACAGAGACATTCCTGAGAATAGATGGGTGGCTGAGCACAGGCCAAGAAGAAGATTATCATCCAGCCTCGTTTTATAGACCAAAAACAATTTTTGAGGGGATTGAGGGGAAGCCCTTCACTTTCAAACTCCATCTCGTTTCATTCTCGGCAAACGCTTTGCTGCAACCCTCTCGGCCCCTTTCTCCCCTCTTTGTGTGATCCCAGTAAGTCCATCTCTAATTCCTCTAACTGTATTTAAACTCTCACTATTCTGTACCAGTCGGCATCGCACGCTAGTGTTATATCAGGAAAACGTAAACACTTTCAAAACAAATTGTTGCCAGGGAGCCAGCCGGCGTTTGGGGGTTTTCTACATCTCCCATTAGATGTGAATAAAAATTACACTGGCACACACACTCGCACACACGCTCGCACACACGCACACACAGACACACAGTAAAGCAATAAATCCTCATCATTCCAACTATAATAGTTCCCATAACCTATTGTCTTCAACCTGAGTAAGCTTTTTGGCAAATAAACAGAGCATGAAACAGAGATTTGTCAATCTGATGTCAGTCCCAGAGGATGATTTTACACCACAAAAATGTGCAATTATACTGAAAATAACAATAATTAAAAATAAACACTATAGGTGAAAATAAGTCAAATAACAATGCTTGACTGTTGATCTCTATGAAATACACGATGGAAACTTGCTGCTACCGTTTCATCATTCATCCGGTAGTCAGGATTCCCTTTGCCCTTTTGCCAGTGTTTCTTTTGGCTGTGTAGCCCAGCAGTCATTTCCCTCATGAGAAAAGCAGCCAAAGTCAATTTTACGGTTCTAACAAGAACTTTTGTTGAAAAAAAAAAAAAAAAACAGCAATGCCTCCTTGTGTCACTGTAACTCTCTTCGTTTTCTAATATTTCGACGTATACCGCTGCAAGTGATGGAGTTTGACACGGTGCTGATGTTTTCTTCAACTCTCCCCGACAAGGTCCGTTCAGAGACTGCCTGCAGGCGCTCGAGGACGGCCACACCTCCAGCGGCATGTACCTGGTGAAGCCAGAAAACGCCAACCGCCTCATGCAGGTGTGGTGCGACCAGAGACAGGACCCGGGCGGCTGGACGGTCATCCAGAGAAGGCTGGACGGCGCCGTCAACTTCTTCAGGAACTGGGAGACGTACAAGGTGCGACAACTTCACACCAAGTCGAGGCGCTCATAGTTTGGAAGGAGGCTTACGAAAGGTGTTTCCACACCACCAGATGGTAAAAAGTTCAACTAATGAATAGATTGTTGTTGAGCTATTGCAGTTAGATCCTTGGGAGCTGCTGACTCTAATTTCCTTGCATTCACTTTCCTTTAGGACTTCTTTTTATTCCAAGGCCAACAACTTACAAGAGTGAATTCAAGATTATATCTTTGTTCGAGGCAGCAACAAGCTTATTTCCTTCACTTTTGAAAAGACTCTTGAATGTTGTACTGACTGTGGTACGTTTCTTCATGAAGAGGAATGCCTCCCTGGTTCAAGGCACTCCAGGCCAACTTAGCGTGAAGGCAGCCAGATCAAAGAAGTTAGAAACCGTTCAGATTGTTGAGTTTCTCACTCGCTGTAGTGAGTCCTGCTGTGCTGCAATAACAATAAAACAGTGGAAACATGGCTAGCTGATACCAGCTATAAACTTGACCCGACGGCTCCGTTAATAATCACGTTCCCTGACGACAAACAATAGAGCCGAAAACCGAGGCCGCCCCGAAAAAGGCCTGTGAATCAATCAGTCGAGTTTATTTATACAGCACGTTTCAGCAACACGGAGTACGCGGCTATCCTGCAGGCATCCCCGCAGACATGCAAACAGGCAGCGCAAAGCTCAGCCCAAACGATGCAGTGAGGGTTTCCCAATCGCTCTGACTGTTTTTCTTATCTCCTCGCTCCACAGCAAGGATTTGGCAACATAGACGGCGAGTACTGGCTCGGTCTGGAAAACATCTACTGGCTGACGAACCAGGGAACCTACAAGCTGCTCATCACGCTGGAGGACTGGTCTGGGAGGAAAGTGTTTGCAGAGTACGCCAGCTTCAGAGTGGAGCCGGAAGCTGACTACTACAGGCTCAGAGTGGGCCGGTATCACGGAAACGCCGGGGACTCCCTCACCTGGCACAACGGCAAACAGTTCACGACGCTGGACAGAGACCACGATGCGTACACAGGTAAAATAAAACAGTTTGGCTTTTTAAAAACAGATTGCAGAGCATCATTTGTCATTATTGGAAGGATATTATTATTATTATTATTTGCTATTTTCTAATCTTTTCAGGAAATTGCGCTCACTATCAGAAGGGAGGGTGGTGGTACAACTCTTGCGCACATTCAAATCTGAACGGCGTTTGGTACAGAGGAGGACACTACCGCAGCCGCTACCAAGATGGAGTCTACTGGGCAGAGTTCAGGGGAGGAGCCTACTCACTGAAGAAAGTAGTCATGATGATCCGTCCGAACCCGAACACCTTCCATTAGGGACACACGTGGAGTGGTGTTGTTTTCCATCACACGAAACTCCCTGGCATCATTTCCACCAGACCAAGACAGCTCTCAAAAAAAAAAAAAAAAATAAAAAAAAAAAAAAAAACAAAACATGATCCTGAAAGTGCAATATTGAAACATCAGGGTGATGCTGGTCTCCCCACCAAATTAATAATATGTTTAATAATAATATGTTTTTTTGTAGCTGTTTATTTTTATTTTATTTTTTTCTTGTTTTGTTTTTCTGTTTCTGCTTCTCTTTTCACTACGGGATATTTAAAGAGTGCGCATTGCTCCAGAGTTGTTTTAGCTCCACTTTGGCAGACAGGGGGTGTCGGTAGCTGTGCTTTTATTCGGTCTGAGTAGCTCTGCATTAATATCTATCTTAACAAGCGAAGGAGGTCGACACAGGAAATGTATCCAGTGATTGTTCTTTAATTTCATGCTAATTATGTATTTTACTTCAAGCTGTGTAGTTTCCAGTAACACTAAAACAATTAACTTGCAACAAAGACTCCTATGTTGTGGCACATATTTTACAGTGCACACTACAAGATATTTGTAACCTTCTTTTCTTGTCTTCTTTTTTTTTGTTTAAAGGAAGCCACAAATTGCCATACAAACACATAAACATTTTATCAGTTGTTGTTTCTTTTCAATTAAAAATCTGGTGGAAAAAAAAGAAAAAGAAAAATCTACCTATTGCCAAGATTTAATAAAGTAAATCATTCATCTTTTGGTAAATATTTTTGAAATTGTGAATTGCTTAAGCAGGTATCCGTAGTTGCTTGTGAAACCCGAGCACCGTATTTACTGTATAAATGTGTTGTTTTGTCAATGCAAATGAATCCAACACAATGTGTTTGTACATAGGATAATTGTAATATAATGTATGTAAAAGTTCTTTCATAATTGAGTTGCAATAAAATATGTACAGATCTTGTGTTTATTTTATTTAATTTTGTTTTTTTGTTTTTTTTTGGGGGGGGGCAACTGCAACTGCGACTCATTAATTAATTTAGTAGAAAATCTAATAATGTAAGTTTGCTCATAAAAAGATTCCTTAAATAAATTCTGCAGCTAACCTCCTGAATTTGTTTGAAGATATAAACTGTTAGGCGATACTCACAGTTTATATCCTGTACTTTGAGTCACTACCTGGAAAATGATCACTTTTCCTTCTGCTTTCTGCTCTTGACTGTCCAAACAAATTAACATGATATCAAGCCAAAATAAGTTTTTGTTGCTTGTCACAGATTGCTTTAAGGAGCAGCTTTAAGTGTGACAATATTCATCAAAAGTAAAGTGAAAACTGCCTGAGCACTAAGTTTTTTTGTGTGTTTTTTTTAGTAGATTTAATATGAAAGTTTTTTAGTCATACTGCACTTATTCATAGCACTAAGCCATGTCAAGTTTATTTTAAATAATGAAGGTCAGCAAATCCAGCTGAGCAAGTTCTTTCACATCTGCATCAGGCGATGCAGATGTGATTAAGTCATCTATTTAATGACCTTGTCAACAAGGCCATTAAGTAGATGATATTGTCGAGGGAACACTGGAGCTTTTCTTCATCTGGAGAAAACATCATATTCTCAGAAAGTTGCAGTGGCTGCGGTTTTTTGTTTATAGCGGATTAAAATGATTTTGCTGATCCAGCAGAAATGTGCCCATCAGTTAACCAGTGATTAGAATAAGCTGATTTCACATTGGCCAGTTCTGACCTGTGCTGCTAAAAGAAAAGAAAAAAATATCTGAATGTTTCCCTCATTCATTTAATGGATCATGTCTAAGAACTTACATCATTTTTGCTCCATGAATGCAACAACAAACACTTTGTACTTTTGAAACACCTTAATGATTTCAACAAAACCAGGAAAAATGTTAGGGACCGAAGCTTAGATGTGTAAATTGAGATAATCTCAAAATTTCTACATTTTCTTTTTGTGTTCAAAACTCAGATCTCTATTCAGGCTACGTCAAAAAATTGAATGAGTCAAAATTGATCGTAGCGCTTTGGACCTCAAAGTACACCTGATGCCGGCGATGGCTGGATTCAGAACATCTCTAATTAAAAGTATATCAAGAAAACGGAAGGCTAAAAAGGACAAAGCGGCACCAACACTGAGAACAGACAAGAATTTGATGCTCGTCAGTTTGAAATGATTCGATTGCTCACTGTTTGACCCACACGAAGCGACACCCGACTACATCTTCCGAAGACGGTTTAATACGGCAAACGTGCCAGATTTTTTCTATAATTTCATGGTTTAATCTGATCAAGTCATATTACTAATGTGCATACAAATCCTGAATATACAATTTCTAACACTGAATATTTAAACATGGCCTCAGAGAGTATCGTGCCTCCAACATTCTGCTCCGGCGTCTACACACAGTCAAATATCCCGTATAGTTAGCGTGACTGATGAAAAATGACAGCCTAGTGAACTTAATGCATCCAGCAGTCTCTTCCACTGACAGATAAAACGCTCTGTAATCCTCAATTTGTCAGTGTGACAGGAAAATAACTTAACATTGCAATGAACCCAACTCTGTTAATACCGTTTTCCGACAGCAAACGAAAGGTTCACTGTTCAACACGTGTGTGGATTTAATTGGAGAACAGTTATACGCAGAATGAAGTTTCAGTTTCAGGTTAAAAATTAACCACGGAAGGGATTGCTCGCATTCCTGTGTGACAATGTCAAAGACGCTTTAACCAGCATTAAGCTGACACACAGTGGCTGTTAAGTCTGGCTGAACGGCTATTTTCCACATGTCACAGAGGCTTTAAACAGGACGAAGTTAAGACTTTGAGCATGCCACTTGTCATTCTTGTCAGCAGTGTCTTTTCCTTAACAAAACATGAATGAGTTGCTAAAAGGCGACTTACCAGATACACAAACACAAAACGTCTGCTTTCTCAATCAACTTAATGGTGGTTAAAAAGAAAAAAAAAAAAAAAAGGGGCAGTGTTTCATTGTCTCCGTAAACACAGAGGACAGACTCGTTGGATGCCGTGCAAGTCTGAAGACTCACCACAGTGGAAAACCTTGAGTAAGGGTGGCCTGTTCCGCTCCCACTCCTCAACCAACATGGAAAAACCTTGAGCTGACATGTTGCTCTCTCAGCACAAAAGGAGCCCACATTTCCTGAACCTTCAAACCTGCAGCTTTCAATGAGCCTGCATTGTTGTGTCCCATCTGTTAAAGTCTGCATGCTTGGGCTTTTAATAGAGGAATGCTTTAACTTTCCTGGCCTCTTGCAATGCCCATTTCACTTAGTAGTCACAACAGAAAAGATCATAATTGCTTTTACTAGAAGCCTTGGTCACAGAAAACATCTGTCGAGGGGACAAGCGACGCCGCGAGCTTAGGAATTTACAACGGATTTTTATAAAGTCCTCCACACATTTCTAAAAGTCTAAATATAAAAGGGCTGAAGATGGTAGGAGTGACAGGTAGGCTGCCAGTGTCAGACTACCCCAGAGCAGCCGTGGCTATAACGTAGTTTCATTACCACCAGCGTGTGAATGTATGGGACTGGACGTAGTGGGGAGAGCTTTGGGACCTGCTGGCCTCGATGAGGTGCTATGCTGCAGAACAGACTGTTTATAAATGAAATAGTGGTCTTTTTGTTGCATTTATAACACAAACCCATTGTCTAGAGTGTGTACTTAATAAAAAAGAGCAACCCTGTAATTATGAGATTTGGAGTTTGCAGTGAGGTAAATCAATGAATGCCATCTGCTATCAATCTAATGTCTTGTCCGCAATACACCACTTGGTGTACAAGCATATACTGCATACCATATACTTAGCCTATAGTATGTACTATAAGTTAGTACATACTACGTGTGTAAACGTACAACGGAGAAGACCTACAGTCAGTCAAAATTCTGTTGCACAGTCTTTTTTGGTTCAGCATTACAAGTCTGTCCCTGCGTCTCGCGTTACCCACAATCCTTTGGTCCACCGTAGATGAGACTGGAGAAAATTCCTCCATGAAAGTCTTTATAAAATACGAGTTTGAATTTTTTAGGGCGCAGCTATAAAAATTATTGAATATTACAGGCATAATAGAGTCACACCGTGACAAAACACTAACTCCCTTTTCTTCTTCTTTCAAACCGAATAGTTGCTCAAGTGCAACATTAATCAGAAACCATTGTGCAAACCGTAACCATTAAGTATAATCAAATCCATCTTTCCGTCCCTTTTTCCGCTCTGACTTCTCTTCGTCGACGTGATTCACGGCATTTGTTGGCGATAACTCACCACGGACAGACATGACATGCAGTTGTACAAGACTCCGGCTATCATTTCAGCATTTTTTTTCCCTCAGAAGTGGCAGCACGTCTGACACCTGTGTAATTGAGCATTCCACTGGACTGACTGAACGCTGACTTTAGGCACGGCTTCACGTTGCCGTAATCTAACTGCAGTTTAGGTTTAGCAGAATTTTTCCCACATCTGACTTTTCAAAAATATATAGGAAAACAGCAAATGTTGACTCAGTTTAAGAAAGAAAAAAAAAAAACATGCCTCTTTTTCCAAACCGTTTACAAGAACTATTCCCAGTTGCTGCTGTAAAACACTTTTGATGCATATGGAAGTTATTAGTTAAGCTTCAAAATAGAAACGTGTAAAATAGTGGTGAGGTATTTGCTTCTTATATTGTGGAACATTTTTTTCCCCACTTTCCAAAAGCTCAGCATGTGAACCGATTCCTAACTGAGGAGATGTGCAGATCCTGGTATAACTTTATAGTCACATACCGTGACCACTATTCCATGCTCTTCCAGACGGTCTGCAAATCCTCTGTGGAGTTTTACAGGAAATCGTTTAGGGAATGATAAGAGGAATTTTCCTTTGTGCAACAGATTGTTTTAAATGTGTTTTTATAGTATGTTTTTTTCCAAAATAAAATAAAATAAAATAAAATAAATAATAGTAATACTAATAAAAACAATATATTTGTTTTTGTAAAGTTAAATCCCTTAAAGTCTGTTCTTACTGGTCAGCTGTACCATAGATAGAAAACCACAATTTTGCCTCAGTTGTTTGAATAACTGGAAAAAATGTACAGCCCCTCACACATTGCTTGTGTTTATGATTTTTTTTTGTCGCATTGAAAATACAAAAAGCAGTTTCCAACTAATGATTTCATTTATTTATTTGAA